CTGTGGAAGGGATTTGTGAAGGCAGTTGGTACAACAGTCTATAGCAGGCTGCTTGACTACTATGGTATAGCTCAGAATAAGAAGGGATGGTCAGAATTTCCTCTATTGCTACTGTGCCAACCAAGGGGCCAGTCAGTGGGAGGTCGAATGTTCAGACCACTGGTGGCCAGCTGGAGAAGTGCAGAAAGTGTCTCTCACCTAGCACAAGGCCAGTTCAGAAACGGGCATCACCATTGTTTTCAGGCATAAATTAAAAGTACTGTTATCATTTTTAAAGTACAAGCTGTGTTCCCCCGGGGTTTCCTTCTGACAGAGGACACAACAGTAGCAAAATCACAATGATTCAGAGGTCAGAGGGTGGTACTCTGGAGCTGTGGGAGACACAGAGGATATTTTTGTTGTTGTTGTTCATTTTCCAATTAATTTTTTACATTCCAATCCAAGTTCCCCCTCCTTCCTTTCCCCCCCAAGCCCTCTTCTCCCCCCTCCTCCCATCTGCTCCACTGAGAGGATATCAGGCTTCCCCCAGGAAGTCTACTAAGTCTGTCTCATCATCTAGTTGAGGCAGGACCAAGGCACCCACAGAGGATATTTTTAATTTCTCATTTTAGATGCTTGAGCTACCTTCAACATTTTGTTGTTAAAGACACTTTGCATTAGATGAAATTAGGGAGAAATAAACGATGTATTTGAAAATATCAAAGAACAGCAGAAGGATTATATATTTTTTATTCATATTGATGATAATTACTTTTATGCATAAAGTATGTTGAGTCCTCATGGAGTCACACTACTTCTTGGGGTACAAGCATGGCACATATATGAAAGGTCAGAAGTAACACTGCTCCCTTTAAGCAGTTGTACTTAGGATCGGGCACATTTGCACTGACTTTAGCTTAGCAGAGCAGGCCCCCCTAGGATCTGCTCCTGCAGCTGTGGGGGCTCTCCTGCAGCCATACCAAGGCTGGGCCCCAAGGAGCTCTGCCACCTCATTTTGACACTGGTCTTTCAGCTTCTCTTTCCTCTTGTAGAGTCTGACTCCAGCTTTTTCCTGTCTCCAGGTGAGTAATTCTGGTTGTTGCATTAATTAAATCATTTTATTTCTTCCTCCCTCCTTCTCTTCCTCCTTTCCTCCCTTGCTACTTATGAATCATCATTGTCTATGTTTGTGGGTCACAGTGGAGGTGGCTTGACATACATACATAATGTAGCATGACCAAACTGATGGACACATAACTGCATTTATGCATCTTTTGTGGCGAAACACTTTGAATTTAATCTTTTATTTTGCCCATCAGTGGACAGCCATTCCCATTTCACCACATCTTCTCCAAAGCGTTATTATTTTCTGTCTTTTTGAAACAGGTTCAAGGTGACATGATTTTTATGCAGTTTTTCCTCTATGATTAATGATGCTGGGATTTTTTCACCTTCCATTTACATGTCATGGAATTGGTTATATAAATGTCTTATCCTGAGAAATGTCTGTGTAAGACCCTCCCCATCCTTAAACAGGTCATTTTCTTTCTTGCCATTGAGCTGTGTTCTTTATATACTTTGAATATTAGCTCTTTATTGGATGGATGGATTGCAGTTATTTTTCCCATTCTGCAGGTTGTCTTATAACTTTAATAGTTTCATTTGCTTTGCCAAAGTTTCTCAGTTTGATACTCCAAAGCCCTTAATTTCTTTTATGAACACTTTTTTTAAGCATAGAGAGTTATTACTGATTTTTTACATGTTATTTTTGTATCCTGAAACTTTACTGGATTTATCACTTCTTGCTGGGTTTTGGTGGAGCCCTCAGGGTTTTCTACGTGTCCTCAAATCAGGTGCTCCACAAATAGAGAAAATTGTTTGTATTCCTATTGTGTTAACGTTTGTTTCTGTTTCCTTGTCTAGTGGTACTAGCTATGACGTCCACTAGTATGCTGAAAAGCACCAAGGGTAGACATCCTTGCCCCTGTCTCACCATTGAGCATGTGAGTTGTGGCTCCTCATCTGTGGCCATTATTGTGTTGAGGTGCTCTCCCCCTACCTAATACACTGAGGTTTTGTTGAGAGAAAAAGTTGAATTTGTTCAATGTATTTTTTTTATCTGACATGATTGCATGGTTTTTGTACTTTCACTGGTGAAAGTGACGTATCTTATTTATTGATTTGCATATGTTGAACATTCCCTACATCACAGGGGTAAAACATGCTTTTAGATAATTTTTTTTTATTTTTGCATGTATTTGTTTTGTGAGTATACATGTACACCTGTGCTGTGGAGTGCATGTGAAGGTCAGGGGATGACTTTGAGCAGTTGGTTCTTTCCTTCCATCATGTGGGTTCCCGGGGATGAACTCAGGCCAACAGCCCTGGTGGTAAGCATCATTACCCACTGAGCCATCTCACTGGTCCATTGATTCTACTCTTTTAAAAATATCTATCTATCTATCTATCTATCTATCTATCTATCTATCTATCTATCTATCTATCTATCTATTATGAGTGTTTTGCCTGTGTGTATTTATGTGTACCATATATAGGTGGCAGCCAGAAGGTGTTAGTTCCCCTAGAACTGGAGTGACAGGCTGTTGTGAACTACCATGTAGGTTCTGGAATTTAAACCCAGGTCCTCTGCAAGAGCAGCCAGTGCTTTTGATTGCTGGACCATCTCTTTAGTACCATAATTCTATTCTTCAAACAACAACAATGACAACAACATAGCCAGGGTCTTGCTAATGTAGCTTAGGGTGGCCTCAAACTTGAACCACTCTTGTGTCAACCTCCAAAGTGTTGGGATTAAAGGCAAGCACCACTATCCCTAGATGCCTAATGCGTTCTTGAATTCAATTTGCTAATATTTTGTTAAAGAATTTTGCGTCTGCATTGATCAATGATATTGGCTTTTTGTTTTGTTTTTGTTTTTCCAGACAGGTTTCTCTGTAGCTTTGGAGGCTGTCCTGGAACTAGCTCTTGTAGACCAGGCTGGTCTCAAACTCACAGAGATCTGCCTGCCTCTGCCTCCCAATTGCTGGGATTAAAGGTGTGCGCCACCACCGCCCGGCGATATTGGCTTTTTTAAAATAATGTTTAGTCTGGCTTTATTGCCAGTGTACCTCTATCCCTGTAAATGAGTTTGGAAACATTTCTTTTACTTTGATGTTTCTAAAAAAACCTGAGAAAATTGGCATTGATTTCTCGGATGAATTCAGCAGTGAGGCCACTTGGTCCTGGACTTTCATCACTGGCTTAATTTCCTTACTTGTTATTTGCATTTTTTTTTTGTTTTGATTTTTCTATTTCTTCACTATTTAGTAATGGAAGGACGTATGTTTTCTGTGGGATTTATCGATTTCTTCCAGTTTCTCCAATGTGTTGATATGTAATTATTTGTAGCAGACTCTTAAAATCCTTAAAAGCATGACATTACCTTTAATATTTTCTTTTGATTCTGATCTTATTTTAACATATTATTTCTTTACTATCTCTTTTGTCCTAGTTTGTCTAGCTGAATAGCTGGACCTAACCTAATTTATCTTTAAGAAAATGCCAAGTCTTTGTTGATTTTTCTGTTTTTCTGGTTGAGTCTCACTCATTTCTGCTCTGACTTTTAGTTCTTTCCTCAATACCATCTTAAGTTTAATCCTGTTTCTAGCTCTGTTAGGTGTGACATAGATTTTTGTTGTTTCTGAGTCAAGATCAAATGTGCAATCCTCCTGACAGCCCCCCTCCCCCCGCCACATGCTAGGTTTATAGGCATGAGCCTTATCCCTAGCTTTAAATTTTTTGATCATTTTTTCTTCTGATCATACACAGATTTATCATAAGACTGATATTGCTATATTGCATATGTTTTATTCTGTTTCTGTTAAGATACACTTTTATTTCTTCTGTGATATATCAGTGATTTTTTGGGAGCACATTGTTGAATGTCTCATCTTTCTGAGTTTTGAAGGCTTTTCCATGGGAATCTGTTTATACAAGGAGATGATTTTTGAATGGGAGTCATTTCCTGATCTGTTGGCCTCATCATTCCTGAATAATAATTGCCTCGGATTTTTGTGGCTGTGATGAAACAACTGAGGCAGATCACAGTTTGAGAGCATGAGACACTGACATAGGCCGTGTCTGGTTGGGTCACACTGTGGTAGACAGCAGAGGGAGCACATGAGAGAACTAGCTAATGTAACTGCATACCAAGCCAGGACCAGAGAGAAGAAATCAATGGCTTATAAACCCATCAAGGGGCTGCTCCATAGAAAGACCCAAGGATTTCCTGCTGGACTCCACCTCTGAATGTTTCTGTCACCTCTCAGCAGTATACCTTGTCCCCCACTCCCCCAGGGAATAGTTACCATATTCAAGTTACAACACTAGGAGAATCCATATTTAAAGACTGCTTTTGTAGTAACTCAAAGGCGTATATTGCTTATTGTTGTGGTTATTTACTTGCTCCTTATTGGAGACTTTCTTTCCTTATTTTACTGATCTTCCTATCAGTGAAATGAGCTAATTTGAGCTAACCTCTATTGTGGGTCAGATTTCTAATCTGTGTTTCTTAGCTAGGGAGCAAGCGATACTGCCTGGAGCATTAGGAATATTATAAAACTGGAATGTAGTAGCCAAGTTCTCCCCCAGCTTCACAAATAGTTTAGAGAGGCATCCTGAGAAAATCATATTCTATATGCTCCATTAATTGTGTTTGAAGTACATCTTTCAAGCATTGTTTCAGGAAATGATTCAAGTTGGACATAAAAACATAATTCTCATTACGAAGTGCTAGTGGAACTTAAGGAGAACCAACTTATGCCCCCTGAAGACCAGCATGATTCTGAACTGGGCTTATTTACAAGACCAGAGCAAACACTGTCTCACTAATTAATGCCTTCAAGTCCTGCCAAATGATCTTGACTAGGAAAAGGAGAGGTATGAAAATCTTCATATTTCAATAGCAAAGTTTCTGCATGGTTATTGTCAGTGACTATCAGAAATACTAGAGGGAGTCGAGATCAGATCAATACAAAGAAGAGAGCAATGAGAAGAATAGGAACACCGAGGAGCCTGAGCAAACGGAAGTATAAGCAAGGTTTCTGAACACCAATGACACGAGTCTTCATAGGCTTCAGTGATCGGTCCCACTGGGTTAGGATGGCATTCCTGGCTCCTGACCACTTCCCTGGGCCTACCAACCGGAACTGGTAGGGGCTGCAAGGGCCAAAGAACACTTCTATGGCCAACCTGGGATCCTTGAGAAACAGCTGTAGGATATTGGGCTTTGCTCCAATAAAGGAGGCCAGTTCATCCATGTAGACAATGTAATCCGTCTGGATGGTCTCGCTGCTGCCAAACCTAGAGATGGAGAGGAGAGACTGCTGTGATACCCAGGCTTTGCAGAAGCAAGAAGAGGACAGCAACTCACGTCTTCCTATCAGGGCAGTCTTTATTCTCTCGTGTTATGGAGGGGACTATTTCATGCGTCATTTGGAAAGAAATCCCCCAACACTACAGAGCTGTGGAGAATGTCTTGTCCCTGTCAGCAAATGAATCATTGTCTCTTGCACAAGTGAAGTTATTCATTCACAGCACCTGAGCTAATTAGTGACAGACCAGGGACGGAGCCCAGTTTTCTAGGTTAATTCTCATACTGTTGAGTCATTTTCATTTAAAACATCTACTTAAAGTATCATCTACCTTGTGGAAGATTTCTGGGCTAGAGAACAGAGTTCTGCTTTGACATGTTACTTTGCCCAGTGACTTTGAGTTCATCACTTCTGCATGTCCTTTCTGGGATGTACTGCAGAAGACAGAGATAAAGGGGACAATACAATGAGGATCCTCAGTCTTATTGCTCACTCTGCACTTTGCCCTTAGTAGGACCCAATGTCATGGCAGACGAGATCTCCATAAATGAATCTTGGATGGAAGAACATGGCTCAGAGTTTTTACTCTGTTGACTTTGTGAAGAATCATTCAAGACAAAGTCAGTTTCAAAAACTGAAAAAAAAAACCCTGATTTTTCTATGCAAATCCTAGATCTATATTATAATAAATCTACAATAAAATCTACAATATAAAACTCTCACAATTTGAGTTTTCTCCCCATTTTCTCATCAATATCATCCATCATGTCTTTTACAGAAGGCAAAATGCAAGTTCCTGAAAAAGAAAGAGGGGCAAAATGACAGTTTAATGAATACAACCCAGGAGTACCCCAGTATTTTTCATTCTCAGTGAATTATGAGGCACATTACATTTTCAGGTTTAAAAGTGTTCATTATTTGTGTGCATGTGCCCATGCATTTATTCCATGGCACAGGGGTGGAGGTCACAGAACAACTTGCAGGAGCCACTTCTCTCTTTCTTCTAAGTTCCAGGAATCAAATCCAGGTCATCAAGCTTTTGAAGGAAGCGCTTTTAGCCACAGAGCCATCTTACTGACTGACTCCATTTTCATTCTGACATTTTATTGTTCAACAAAACAAAATCTTGAGCAAATGAATAATTGGTGATTATTTTCAGATTGATGAAGGATTCCTACTCTTCTTAGAACACTTGTCACAATAACAAAAATGTATTATGCCATTATCTTGGTATCTTGGTTCTTAAAGATACCAGATGGTGAATATTTGTTAAAGAGTTATATTCTAAACTTTAAATCATATTTTAAAGAATATTTTCTATAAATTATAGTCTAATGCAGATGAATTGCAATTATTTCTCAGGATTTTGTGTGTGTGCATAGGGAGTATGCGTGTGTACCTTTTTGCACATGTGGGTATGTGTGTTTTGTGTGTAAGGTCCCAGAATGGAGCCCAGGTTTGTCAGTCTTGGCATCAAGCACCCATGTCACCCGAGCCATCTCCCCAGTTCCCCTTTTTGTTTTACTTTTCCCTTTATTTTCTTTTCTTAGAGCCAAAGTTACAACTCTCATCCTCACAGAGAGCTAGTGGCCTTCCTTTAAGTCCAGTCCTCTTGAGCTGCTGCTGCTTCTCTGGAGTCACTGTGCCCTCTGAGGTCACCTCCAGTTTCTGTCTGAGAAGGTATAGGTGTCGGAGACTCAGAGAGGTCATTGCTGAGTAGGAACACACTGATATGGGTGGCAGCCTGATGCCCCAGGGTGCACAGCAGCATGTATACCCACTCTAAGCATTAACAAGTCAGCACAGTACTAGAAGAGGTAGCTGTGGCTCACTTTGCTAAAACTCCCTCATCGAGAAGTTTCATAACTTAAGGTTCAACTAAACTATGCTCAATGTACTTTGACATCTCTGTTTTGCTTTAATAATGGGTCCACTTATTCTTATGATCTGTGGGTGCCTACAACTATACCCCTTCATTCAGACGTTACTGTGATTCTGATCTTAGCTCGGCTACCAGAGGATGCTGGCTGCCTCCCTTGCCTTAACCTAATCAAGTCCATTGTTTCCTTTTCCTTTTGAAAATATGAATAATATGTACTTTCTATCTTAGAGATTAAACACCTTTCACATTTTGTACTTCCTGTCTCTAATCAATCACTGCTTGTCCTTAACTAACACACTGTAGAGAAGAACAGCCAGAAGACCTGCTGCCTTCCCACAGTGAGTGTTCTTCCTGGCTGTAGATATCTGAGGCTGGCTGGAGATTAGCCTGAAACTCTTTCCCAATCACCCTTTCAAGTAATGCAATTCTATTCAGTTTGAAATCACAATTTAATAACATCGTGTAGTTAGGACCAAGAACTCTTGGAGTTCTTGTCTACTGAATGATCTCAGGTAATTGTCAGCTCCCAGGAATCATAAGGAGCAAAAATCTCCTAATAATATCATACTATTGCATATGATAACCCAGTGACACATATTTCAAATTGGTTATAGAGTACAACATCAATGGAAATAGAGTTATAGATTCTCAAAGCTGGATAGGTCTCTTAATTAGGATTATTGATTGGATTCTGAAAAGTACTCTCATTAGCATCCATCGGTGAACTTTTTGGCCCACCTACCCTTTATTACTTGTGTAGCCCAGCGTGCCTGCAGGTCAGTTGTGGGGATGGCAGCACCTAGGGACTGGACAAGGCCAATCACTGCCATGGTTGGTTTCTCCAGTTGAGGAGGGAAGATGCCTTTGTACAAAGTGACCTCGTTATTTCTGCTTTTGATGATGGAGTCATCCAGGAAGGGGTAGGCATAACCATAGCCTGTTGCAAAGATGACACAGTCAATGGCCTCAAACACAGTCCCATCTTCAAATATAGCAGAGGTCTCTGTGAACTCCTTCACATTAGGCTTGATGGACACAGTGCCACATAGGATGCGGGCTGGGAGCTCATCATTGAACACCGGCTCTTTCCTGAGGGTTCTGCATAGATGGAAGAAACTGGTCATTGTAACAATAACATGTCCTGTTAGTCTCTGTGAAGGAAGGAAGAAAACAGTCAAAGAGTTTTCCCTAAGCTATGGAATGTCACTAATGCTTGAGAGGAATAAAAGTAATATGAGGTCATATAGGATATGAGAAAAGCGCTAGCAAAGCCTACGTCAAGAAAAGTTCTTGTATGGTCCCTGGGATCTGAAGTCTTTCATTGCTTCATATTATCTGTGAAATCAAGAAGATTCAGTCCTCTTAAATTCCCAGTGCCTCACCTTTCTCTTCTGGAATGACAATGTCATTTATCTTAGGTCACAGCGAGATCTGAATAACATGAGGAATTTGTAGTCTGTAGCACAGATAAAGTGCGTGCTCACAGTGCTAACTTCTATTCTTATTTTCCCAGTGGCCATGGTAAGATAGGCTTGGGTGGGTGGAAGGAAAACATGAGAAGGCTATACCTGGGCTTTCAGAGAGTGGTGAAATGTGAGCCCCATGAAATCATTGCGCAACTCAGGCAAAGAAGGTGCTCCTGGGAAAGTAGATAAGGCAAGGAGAAGGGAGAACAGTTTGAAGCACTGGCCCCTGGAGATCTAAAAGGAGATCCTTAGTTTTGATCAGTAAAATCTCCATGCATACAGATTATTCTGAAGTCGACAATGAACTTGAATAGCAAGGAAGGAAAGGGCTTTGTTATGTATGGCCAAGATAGATAGAAGAAGAAGCTACAGGAGGAGAAACTGAGACAGTGAGATTAGGTGGAATTCTGGTTGGGAAAGTGCTAGACTCAACTGCACTTCTTCCCTGCCACTTGTACTAAACTAGTTGCCATAAGCCACCAAGCACCCAAGCCTCACTGAGACTGCATTTGCCAAGGCTGTCAGAATAAAGCTGGTGGATCCAGTGGCCTATGCTCACTTACTTTACTGAGCTTGTCAGTAATTCTTGACTTAGTTGATTGTGCCTTTCCTCCTGAAACAGTCTTTAAAGATCATCACTTTTTCTTAGTTCCTTTCCTAACATGACTACTGTCTCTCCATGTTCCTTGCTGCTGCTTTCTTCCCCACCCGATTGCAGAACTCAGTCCTCAGTCTTCTTACCTTCCGCAACTACATTCATCCTTTAAGAGATGACATAAAATTTAACTTAGAGTTTGAACCTAATTCAAGGACCCTATTGAAAACTGTCTTTAGGGTATATTCCATCCCCCTTGCCTGCTTTGTATTCTCCTCAACACACGTCACAATACAGCTTTCTACTGAGCAGTTATTGCATGTTTATGGCTACTCAGAGTGTACGCTAGTAGAACAGGATTCTGCCTGTTCTAGACCCTGATGTAGCCACAAACACTTGGGACCTGACACAGTAAATACTTTATTTCTATTTGTTGAGTGAATGAATTTGTAAGAAGTTTGGGATCTGTATCCAAAGCTGAAGTTATTTCTTATGTGGTGGGCTTGAGGGAGTTGTAGAAAAAAATTAAGGAGGAAACTGGGAGTGCCGGACTTATGTAGAACTGGTTCAGTGAGAACATTCTTTGAAGGGTTTGAGAAAAGAGTATAGCACAGGAAAGCCATTTTGTTAGCCTCCACTTTGCCATTAAGTGGGAGGTCACAGAGTAAGTGGATAAAGAACAAAGGACCCGGAATCAGCAGGTGTGGGTTTATACTGAAGGCTACTTTTACTTCCAGGGTGTGGGAGTTTGGTAACATTAATTCTATTGTACTTCAGTTTTCTTCTCTGAAAAGCAGAACAAACAGAGCCCTCTTCGTAGTTGTGAGGGTACATGTCATATTATATGACAGAGCCTAAAAGAGAATAGGTAAGACTCTGGTAATATATGATGTGCTTAAAACATTTTTATTCCTGTTACTATGGGAGCTAATTGCTTCAGCATTACCTAACTTTCTAGATGTACAAATCTGGTAAGAAGGACGTGTGCAAATAGTTCCCAATATTTGCAGTTCTTTATCCTTTGATACCTGAGATGTGATTACCTCATGAATAATTTTCTATTTGTTTTGAGATTACAACACACATCAAGGGCCATTGACACTGAAATAAATGCTGGCTGGCACATCATGCTTTAGTCCACATTACCCATTTAAAGGCATCAAGCCATAGTTTTCGTGCTTGAATCTTGCGTTCATCTGCCTCATGTACCACCAATCAGAGATGGTTGTGGGTAAGTTGTTCTTGAGGAAAGTTTGAAATCGAGTGATCACCATCATGTCCCAAGGGTATCCATCATTCCAGACCCGGCTCATCACCCAAGATCCACTTCTGGAGCTGATGATGACCTTAAAAACACAAATGCTAAATGTAGTAAGTGTAGTATATATTGTAAGATGCCCTCTACATATCCCTATTGGGATGGGCTTGTTGCTCTTGGGTTTTTCTTGGCTTGTTGTGTTGTTGTTTTCTTTTGCCAGGAGGAAGTAGGAATGCCTCAGCTCTCAGTCCTCCTAAAGAGTTGTGTTGACTGAATGGGCTCCACTCAGGTCTTATTTCCTCTCTGGGTTTTCTGAATCCACTGATTGGCCCATGTTGGCCCAGACCCTTATTTCAGCTTGGTTCATAGACCTATCAAAGCTTGAGCATAAGGCAAAAGGAAGTTAGCTGTCCTTCCCAGGAGACACTGACTCCAAGAGCACTTTTGGATGAGCTTCTTCAGCTCTAATCTGTTTCTAAAAGTCAGCTATCCTGTGCTGCTGACAGGAACCAACTTATTTCAATCATGTCTTCCTTAACACAAGTGGCCATCAATGTGAATCCCAGTCATATTTCTCTCAGTGCTTATCCAACTACTGATATCTACAAAGAAGCAATTATTATCGCCAAGTAGACACTGGTGTAAAATAAGGCAAGCAAATTGTGATCAGGGCACCAAAGACACAAGTCCTGGCCCTCTTACCTTTAAAGATGTGACATAGGGAAGCTTGCTTTAACTTCATTAATCTTGTTTCCCTTCTTCTAAATCAGAAGGAAATAGCATCTACCACTTCAGATTTGCATGAGGGTCAATTCAGCATGATATGGCTCACATTACCTCATATATCATGTGATCAGTAAATATCTCTTCCTCTTCTGTTAGTTCCTAACACAGTCCAGGCCCATCTCCTTTGTGATGCCTTGAATTCTACAGTCTTTTAGACATTTAGTGGCAGAATCATCCATTTATCCTTCATTTCAGCCCTAGCTCTCATACTGTTGTCATGCATTCTGCTTAGCTATTGAGATTGTGTGTGTGTGTGTGTGTGTGGGGTGCTAGATTTTATGACCTTTTGAGAAGGAAGGCCATGTAGTTAATTTCTTTGCATGCCCCCCCTGGTTGTCAAGTGCAGAGTGTGGACCAGAGGCATAAGAATAGATTTTTTATGCCATTTTATCCTGACATGATCTTCACAAATCTTCACTGTACTATTGTGGAATACAACTAGAAATATGCTGGGGATGTCCAAGAGTCCTATGAGGGACCTATACTGGGGGTATATGACATAAAAAGGTAAAACATCTGGAAACAGGATTCCTACCTTTGGGCTTTTGGAAAAAAGCAATCTTTAATGATTTTTTTCCAAGTGAGATGGCACATGTTTAAAGTCACATCCTAAAAGGATCTTCATCATTCCCTCTCCATCTTCCTTTCAATTTTCATTTACATCCTTCTTTCCCAAACCCACTGAGATGCAGCCAAGAGGCCTTCTGCCAGTTTTTGAGGCACCAAGTTTCTTATTTCAAGACCCTCTGCCTGGAGACCTTTTATGGTACTGCACCTTTCTCAACTTCTGGTTCTCTGCTTGTCTGCCATCATCTCCAGGGGTCTTTCCCTCCATGTGTGAAGTAGGTAACCCTTACTATTCACACAAACCATGTGCTTTATTTTCTTGGCTAGCATTTTCCATAATGATAACGTACACATTAGAGCATTTACTTAATTAATATCGTGGAGTTTAAGAGTGAGGGTTATGCTTGTTTTGTTCAACATTCTTTCTCTACATACCCATGCCAGTGCCTGGAATGAGAAATAACCACAGAATGAATGCATGCATGGACGAGTAAATATACACAGCTCTCTGTCAACATTAACTGAATCAGGTTTTAACTCTTTAACAATCTCATCTCTAAATTGGTTCAGATTTTACCTGTTTTATCGATGAGGAGGCCAGAAACCCAGAAGTACTGAACAACGTATCTAGGCGTCTCAGTTATAGCTTTGACCTTGAGTCTACTCTAGTTTTAGAGGGATTGATCAGATCCACAGGAGGTATGAAATGTCTCAAGAAGCTTCTTGGGTGGGAAGCATCACTAGTGACCCCTATACGGCTGTTTCAAATCCCACTTGTGACTTAGGAAGCTAAGGTATATGAAATATCACTTGGTTTTCACATGCCATCCCACTCCAAAGCAGTTTTCAAAGGATAATAACAGTTTCTATTCCTTCAAGATTGTCTGTGGTGTGTGTGTTTGTGTGTCTGTGTGTGTGTGTGGGGATTGGTACCTGTTGAGCTATGTGGCTGAGTTCTGCAGCAATGTCACAGCCCGAGTTCCCCAGACCAATCACCAGTATTCGTTTTCCCCTCCATATCTCTGGTTCCTTGTAGTCCCTACTGTGGAAGCATTTGCCTTTAAAACGGTTCAGTCCTGAGTGAAAAGTGAGAAACATATGAACCAATTTGATTTCTATTAAAATAAAACAACTTTAGAGATCACACAATAAGAAAATTTAATAATCCTAACATATTAATTACATATAACAGAAATATATTTTAATTGGCCTGTTTGTAGTTTAGTTAAAAAGACATTACTGCAGTTTGGGGATGGCTTGAGTGTATCCCCCAGGGGTCCATGTGCTTCCAGCTTGGTCCCCAGTGTAGTAGCGACAACTAGGAAGTAAGTTAGTCATTGAGGACATCACCCTTGGAAAGGATGGTGGAGCAAGTTTAGCTACATGAGAGCAGTAACTTTTTCGTTTTAACAAGAGCAAGCCTGGCTGTTGAATCCCTCTAGCTGACCTTCTTACTTCGTAGCCCTTAGCTGCTGGACATGGCTAAGGGCTAATTTTTTTTTCCATCTCTTTACCATGCTTCGATGCAATAGGGGTCTGGATAAGGTGGGGAAGGGGGTGGGACTTGCTAGAATGATAGCAACATGCTGCTTACACTTTCCAGTTCCTGTAATTATGAGCCAAGTCTCTTTCATGTACAATGTCTTAATTGGCAGGCATTCTGTTACTTATGTTATAAAGCGGACTAAAATAGACATCACTAATATGTTTATTCTTGACAGATATGTAGGTGGCTTCCTCAATTTCAGCCTTACCTGGAAAGGAGTCTTTGGGTAGATGGGGATATACATGATGCCCAGAACAAATCATTACAGCATCAAAGACAGCTGTTTCTTTTTTACCATTCTTTTCAGTGGTAACTTCCCATTTGCCAGTAATTGAGAAATCAGGATATTTATTTATACTGGTTACAAATGTCTAAGGAATGCAGAGAGAAAGCCTTCTTTAATATGCTAATAGTGTATTGGTCTTAATAAAATATTTAATTAGTAAGGGACATCTTAAGGAATTCAAAAGTTCCTTAGAAGAAATGAAAACATTAAATTGTAAATATATGTATGTGTCAGTATTGCGTGTATGTGTGTGTTCTTTTTTGCCTTGTTTTTAAATATTTTTCATTGTTTATTGCAGATTATGGCTTTCTATGCCTTTTGCAAAAAGTCTACTAATACCCAGTTCTAAGGTTTTTGTTTTCATTTAATTCTTTTTGACACATGGATTATTTAGAAAATAGAGTTTAAAACCTATGTATATCTTGTATTTAATTTTGTTACTGATTTCTAAGTTGATGCCATTTTGATGTAAGAACTACATGTGATCGTGTTTTGCACATTTCTGACAGATTCATAACAGGAAAATAGCATTCACAAATCTACAAGTAGAGAAACCAAACTGTTAAAACTGTTGATTAAAGAAAGGGATCCTGGGGGTAAAGTGGGAATTGAGCAACAGCCATGGACGTCCTCATTGCTATGTCTGACACTGCTTTGCTGACAGAATCTTACCTCAAATTGTATGTATTTTACAAGGTTCTTTTCTTTGGCAAATGAAGTGATGTATTCTTGGAGCTTGCTGTTATGCATAAAGTTGGGGAAGTCATCAGGATAGGGAAAGTCTGGAAAACACATCATTTCTTTGGAAGAGTTGGTGAAGACTGATCGGTAAATACTAGCCCTGCCCTCTTCTGTATGTTCCTGTGAATAAAATTTTCAGATGGAAGAAAATTGGTAAATGACTATACAGTTCTTGTTCATATTTAGTTCTAAGTCATTATAGTAAGTTGAGTTGGCCTTTACCCACCAGTGAATCTGGTAAGATGACAAATATTAACTTCCCCTAAACAATTGATGCTGATCACAGACATTCACCAAGGCGACATAGAATATAGAAGTATATACTAAATGTATTATCTTTTCTAAGGCAAATAACTTCTTTGCTTCCTTTTTGAAGTATGCAATTAGAACTCTTATTTCTATAACATATGGTGATGGATAATCATAGTTCAACCCCACAGGATTTCACTGTGTCACCAACTCATGAGCATGAGCAACTAGTAGTCAATCTAATTCCTATTTTTTAAAAGATTTATTTATATATTATGTATACAATCTGCATGTATCACTGCAGACCAGAAGATCTCATTACAGATGATTGTGAGCAACCATGTGGTTGCTGGGAATTGAACTCAAGACCTCTGGAAGACCAGCTAATGTTCTTAAACACTCAGCTATCTCTCCAGTCCCAATTTGATTTCTAAAAAGAGTGATCGACCATTGGCACTATCTATAAGATTTGTAAATGTGAGCAATTTTAAATTCTTTTTTTTTATTTCTAATTTTTTTTTGGTTTTTCGAGACAGAGTTTCTCTGTGGCTTTGGAGGCTGTCCTGGAACTAGCTCTTGTAGACCAGGCTGGTCTCAAACTCACAGAGATCCATCTGTCTCTGCCTCCCTAGTGCTGGGATTAAAGGCGTGTGCCACCAATGCCCAGCAATTTTAAATTCTTATCTTTCAATATTAAATGTAAAATTTCTAATTCTTATTTTAAACCATGCACATTGAATGGTTTAAACCATGCCTGTCCACTGAGTATTTATGTATGTAATAGTTTTAACTTTTAGAAATATAGAAATGTTTGCATTGATAATATTTTTTGGAAATTTTTATTTGAATTAGAAACAAGATTGTTTTAAATGACAATCCCAGTTCCCTTCACCCTCCCGTCCTTCCTTACCACCCCCCCCCCCACTAAAACCCTACCTATCACATATCCGTTCTGCTCCCCCTGGATGGTGAGGCCTTCCATAGGGTGTCATAGTGTCCTTTGGCATAGGGCCTAGGCCCATCTCTGTGTGTCTTGGCTCAGGGAGTATTCCTCTATGTGGAATGGGCTCCCAAAGTCCACTCCTATGCCAGGGATAAGTACTAACTACTACAGGAGGTCCTGTAGGTTTCTGAGGTTTCCTCACTGAAACCCATGTTCCTGGGGTCTGGATCAGTCCCATGCTGGTATCCCAGCTATCAGTCTGGGGAGCAAAAGTCCCCCGATGTTCAGGTCAGCTGTTTCTGTGGGTTTCACCAGCCTGGTCTGGATCCCTTCACTCTTCACTTGTCCTTCTCTGCATCTGGGTTTCAGTTCAGCTCAGTGAGCAGTTGTGGGTGTCTGCTGCTACTTCCACCAGCTGCTGGATGAGGGCTATCGGGTGGCATATAAGTCAGCCATCAATGTCATTATCAGGGGAGGGCATTTAATTTAAGGTAGCCTCTCCTCTGTTGCTTATATTGTTAGATGATGTCATCTTTGTAGATCTCCAGACATTTCCCTAGTGCCTGATTACTCTGTAAACCTAAAATGTCTCCCTCTATTATGGTATCTCCATTCTTGTTATCTTCTCCTGACTCAACCTTTCTGCTCCCTCATGTCCTCTGCTTCCCTCATCTTCTCCCCTTCTCATTCCCCTAGCTCCCTCCGCCCTCTTCTCGTACTCCCAATTTGTTCAGGGGATCTTGACCCTTTCCACTTCTCCAGGGGACCATGTGTGTCTCTCTTAGAGTCCTCCTTGTTTACTAGCTTCTCTGGCAGTGTGGATTGTAGGCTGGTAATCCTTTACTCTATGTCTAAAATCCACATATGAGTGAGTACATACCATGTTTCTCTTTTTGTGATTGGGTTACCTCACTCAGAATGGTTTCTTCTAGTTCCATCCATTTTCCTGCAAATTTCAAGATTCCATTGTTTTTTTTTCCACTGAGTAGGATTCCTATGAACAAATGTACCACATTTTCTCTATCCATTCTTCAGTTGAGGGGCATCTAGGCTGCTTCCAGTTTCTGGCTTTTACAAATAGTGCTGCTATGAACATCGTTGAACAGATGTCATTTGTTGTAGGAATGTGCTTCTTTTGGGTATATGGCTAAGAGTGGAATTGCTGGATCTTGTGGTAGACTGATTCCCATTTTTTTGAGGTGTCGCCATTCTGATTTCCAAAGTGGCTGTACAAGTTGGCACTCCCACCAGTAGTGGAGAAGTGTTCCCCTTTCTCCACATCCTCTCCAACATTCTGACAGGAGTAATCTCAGAGTTGTTTGGATTTGCATTTCCCTGATGGCTAAGGATGTTGAACCCTTTCTTATGTGTCTTTCAGCCATTTTAGATTCCTCTTTTGAGAATTGTCTTTTTAGTTCTGTACCCCACTTTTTAATTGGATTGTTTGGTGTTTTGGAGACTAGCTTCTTGAGTTCTTTGTATATTTTGGAGATTAGCCCTCTGTCAGATGTGGGGTTGGTGAATAACTTTTCCCAGTCTGTGGGCTGCCATTTTGTCTTGCTGACTGTGTCCTTTGCCTTACAGAAGCTTCTCAGTTTCAGGAGGTCCCATTTATCAATTGCTGATCTCAGTGTCTGTGCTACTGGTGTAATTTCAGGATGCGGTCTCCTGTACCAATTAATTCAAGGGTATTTCCCACTTGGTCTTCTAATAGGTTCAGTGTGGCTGGATTTATGTTGAGGTCTTTGATCCATTTTTATTTTACATTCTGGTCACAGTTACCCCTCCTCCATTCTTCCCCACTGCCCCCAGTCCCCACTCAACATGATCCTCTTCTGTTTTTGTTCAGAAAGGGCAGGCCTCTCATGGATGTCAACAAAACATGGCATATCAAGTAAGTAAGATTAAGCACCTCCCCTTGTATGAAGGCTGGGCAAGGCAATCCAGTATGAGGAGTAGGTTCCTAAAAGTTAGCCAAAACATTAGGGACAACTCCAAATCCCATTGCTAAGACTCCCACAAGTAGAACAAGTTACTCAACTGTCACATAATTTAGAGGGCTTAGGTAGCTCCCATACAGGATCCATCGTTGTTGGTTCAGACTGTGTGAGCTCATATGAGCCAGGTTAGTTGTTTCTGTGGGCTTTCTTGTGATGACCTTAACCCCTTTGGGTCCCATAACCCTTCCTTTCTCTCTTTAGCAGGATTCTCCATATTAGTGGAGAAGTAACAGAATTGTGCTAAGAATTGTAGTGGCGGTACTAAGAGATGATGAAAGAAGGGAGTGCTGAAGCAAAAGGCTTAGCAAAGAGAAGATCAGGATGCTGTGATCTGGTTATCATCTGTTGCCATACACTGGCACGCATGCACACACACACACACACACACACACACACACAGACACACAACCCACCACCTCCACCACCAACAACAATATAACACCCCCCCAAAACAAGCAGCCAAACAAACAAACAAAATCTCACTTCAACTCAAAATTAGATTCAACTACTGTAGAATTTGTTTTAGATGGACTGTATCTTCAAATGTCTTTCAAGTTACAGTATAGAATAAAACTGGTAGGGGGTAATAACAAAAAAAGTAGTTCTTATGCAAGATAACACCTTAGGATGTGTTTGTTGTAGCTGGTGTCTCAATGCACGTGTGGGGTGAATTTTATAGACTAAATAAAAAAACATATGTGCTTGTTTATGGGAAGGGTGTACCTGTGTGTCCATGTGCGCATGTGTCCCCCATCGTGTGTGTGTGTGTGTGTGTGTGTGTGTGTGTGTGTGTGTAGGTCAGCCTCAGGTGCGTGTTCCTTAAGAGCCATCCTCTCACTGATAAGGCTAGGTTGGCTAGTAAGGAGGCTCCAGGAACCATGCCTCCTCTTCTCAGTGTTGGGATTACAAACTTGGCTTCTGAGGTTTGAACTCAGATGCTCATACTCTGAACGTAAGCACTTTACTGACTGAGCTAGATCCTCAACCTAAGGCATTGCACTAAAAGAAAGAATACTGTAAAGTCCACGATAAAAGAGCCAAAACTTTACTTGGGTCTCTGAAACCACCAAGGTATGTTGTGCATGCTCTTTTGGTTAGATGAATTATCTGTCTTTCTCAGCAGCTACTTAAACAATAGATCAGTAAGCTGTCTGGATTTGACCTTTGGTTTTGTGATGGAAGATTAAACTACAGATCTCTATGGATGGCTGTGAGTTTGTAGAGAACCATGTAGACCACTAGCAAGTTCTTATTAGGTGTCATGTAACTCAAAACTGATGGGTGCCCAGATTATGACCTTTTAGTAAACACTGGAATATTATGTCATGCCAATCACTATCACTAGTGTAACTGAAATTTTTTTTTTTTTTTACTGCCAAGGGACATATTGGCTGTTGTGTTTATTTCAAAAAAGAACGTGACCTTGAAACGGGACTCAAGTTTCTGTTGTTCTTGTGACTCATACGCTTGAGTAGTCTGTATGAGATTTTGGGGGAGGTGAAGAGATTTGTAGCTTCTAGTGAGTTTAGGAAGCTTGATAGAAATGATATTGTAAGGAAAGAGGAAAAATAAGGACTAGATTAATTCACATAGAGTCTCTCAACTTGAAAATACAAAATCTGAAGTGTTTTGAGCATCAAAATGGCAGCACAAATAGAAAAATCCAGCTGCAGGTGGGACATCCATATCCTCTTCTCCAAGGCTCAGGAAACATTGTAGAAGAAAGGGTAGAAAGACTATAAGAGCCAGAGGATGGAGAGGGTGTTGTGAAGAGATGTCCTCTGGACATGACATGGCTGTTGCACACATGAACTCATAGCAGGTGTGGTTGCCTCCTACTCAACATCAAGCTAGTTAAAAATTCAAACCCGGATTGGGGAGGGGGCTTCTGCAGTCCCATTCCAGGGTGAGGAACTATTGGCAGCTAATGGCTGCTGGAGGGAGGAAGAATTCTTTTCTTCCTTTGTTCCTTCCCTTTCTTTTTTTCAATACATCTCAACCTCAGTTTCCCCTCTGTCCACTCCTCCCAGCACTCCCCCTCCCCCCCACCTCCCCTTTCTCTCAAATCCACTCCTCCTCTGTTTCCTTTAGAAAAGAACAGGCCTTCCAGGGATATCAGCTGAGCATGACAAACAAGATATAATAAGTCTAGTCACAAATCCTCATATCGAGGCTAGGCGAAGCAACCCAGTAGTAGGAAAGGGGTCCCAAGAGGAGATGAAAGGGTAGGTGATACCCCCATTCCCTCTGTTAGGAGCCCCACAGAAATACCAAGCTAACAACCATAGCATATATGCAGAGGACCTAGTGCAGACACATGCAGGCTAGAATTGCTTTTCTTATGACATTTGGCTACTGGTAGATTACCCAAGCCCCAGTGGGTGATCCACACCCGTGAGAAGATAGGCAGCACTAAGCACTAACTGAACTCAGGGAATCACACACACACACACACATAGACATAGACACAGACACACACACACACACACACACACACACACAGCATGAGATTGAGAGGGCAATGTGTCTGGGAATGGGGAAAGGGGAATTGAAGTGAGAAACTGGGGGTGGGTATGGGGTGCATATGATCAAGATACTAAATACATGTATGAAAATTTGAAATCATAAATAAAATATTAATAAAAATAGTTGTGTGTAGAAAAAGAGCCCATATTAAACTTCTTGTAAATCAATGCAATTTACTCACTAATTGTTGGGGGAGGGCTGCTGGGAAATGGAAATTTGAGCTAAAACTGTGGCCTGGCCAGAGTGGCTCATTTACTCTGTGGGTAAGCAGTGAAGGGGCGGTGCCAAATGTATCTGCCTTTATGGACTTGCCTCTCCTATATCCGTTTGCAAGATCATAGTCAAAATGCAACATGTTTTCCTCTTCTATCTGCTGTCTCCCTTTGTTTCCTGCACGGGATGGTATATGTTGCAGCATTTCGAGGCAGCTCAGGTAATCCAGGAAAATCTCTCCATCTCCAGATGTTAACTTCATTTTAGCCTCAAATGTTTGTTCTTTGATAGCTAGTTCTAGATTGTAAGAATTAGGGAGTGATTTAATGAGTGCATAAATGTGTATCTTCTGACAGTGACAAAGCCTCAAAAGTACTTTACAGTGCGCCCCTCACGGCCCTTCGCAGTGCGCCCCTCACGGCCCTTCGCAGCCGTCTCATTAGCTTTGGGTTTTGTAAGAACAAGTTCCACACCCGAGTCTTCTAAATTGCTTTGTTTTTTTTTTTTTTTTTAAATCCCCTTCCCCCTTCCCTGCCCTATGCCCTGCTCTATCCCCTGCCTTCCTCTTTGCTCCTTTTCTTTCCCCTCTCCTCTCCTTCCCTCCAGTTCCCTCTCCTCTCCTCTCCTCCCCTCTCCTCTCCCCTCCTCTCCTGTCCTCTCCTCCCATTCTGCCCTCTCCTCTCACCTCCCTGCCCACTTCCCTCCTCTCACCTCCCCTCCTCTTGACCCCATGTATCCTAGGCTGGCCTGGAACTTGCTGTGTATCTGAGAATGGTCTTAAACTTTCAGATCTTCTTGCTTCTATCTCCTCAGTGCTGAGATTAGAGGTGTGAGCCACTATGCCCGGTTTTGTGGTGCTAGGAATTCAACCTAAGGCTTCTGAATGCAGTCTGAATTGTACTAATTTGTAAATGTCATCAACTGACCCACATTCCCAGCTTCTGATTTTGAGATTATTATTGCTATTATTTAGTATGAAATTTTGCTTTCATCATTAGTAAATGGTAAGCTTAGATAAATACTAAAGAAGTGTTTTAAAATAAATTCCTTTAAAAACAAATAACGTTACAGAGACGAGGTAGGTTATATTAAGTAACGTATTTCACAACAATTAATGGACAAAGAAAGAAAGCAAAGAGGGGAATATGAGAGGGCTTGGATGGAGGAAAGGGGGAAATTATGTAATTATATTATAATTTCAAAAATAAAATAAATTAAAACAAACAAAACAGCTGCCAAGACTTGTTAATACATACACAATGTAGAAAAAATAAATGTTTGTACCAGTAAAGCAAAATGTGTTGGAGGAAACAGGAATGGAGAGATTTTGCGTGTGGTTTGTTATTAATTTAAAGTAGATGGAACTACTTTTTGTATATGTTAATAAATTAGAAGTGATTTGTATTCTAAAAATAACCATCTTAATTGTTTATAGTCATTGTAAATGGGTGGCATTGTCCTGCATAAAGGCAGGTACCTCCATAGAGCACAGTGCCCTCCCACAATCCAACAATACTACTTTAATTGTAGTACCTGTAGACAATCATATAACAATTGTATACATGTAGGGATGGAATAGTGCTTAAACCTGAGTATTTAGAAACTGTATCTTTTACAGCATTAAAAATTACCCTTCCTGGGGAGTAGAGGGTGGATGGGGTGGGGAAGCAGGTGGGGGTTGGGGGGAGGGGAGGGAGAGGGAGAAAAAATTGACAAGCTTGTTCCTAATTTGGACTAATAAAAAATTAATTAAATAAAAAAGAACCTATAGAATAAGTCAAAGAACATGGAGAATTAAAAAAATGCTAACAGAATAATTTTGCATATTTTGAGGAACAATATGATGTTTCAATGCATAGTACAATACATATTGATCAAATTAAGGAATGGGTTTTCTATCTCTTGTCATCACGTTGTGTTTGGAGTGCTGGGGTAACTCTCTGATACTTATTCAAAACTGCATAATTGGTTGCCATAAACTATAATATAGGGCATACTACTTCAACCTACTTGTGTTTGGGAGCTTGCTATGCAAGCTCCCAGGGTCCTTCCTATCTCTTACTTTCCCCAGCCTTTGGTAATCACTTCTACACATTCAGTTACCTAAGAACAATTATTTTTAACACAATGACTTCCATTTTCATTTGTTTTACTAAAAATAATGGGATATTATTCTTTTTTAAGCTTTAGTACTATTCCATTCAGACTATGTGCCACAATTACTTCATCTATTCACCTATCATGTCCTGTGCTGCTGGGGCCATATCCACTTTCTTCTTTGCCTGTATTAATGTCTTGAAGTGCTTCCCCTATTTTCTTCTAATAATTTTGTAGTTCTGCATCTTATAGTTAGGCCTTCAATCCATTTTTGCTTTATTTTTATGTGTTTGAGAGGTATAGGGGTCAAGTTTAAATTTTCTGTTTGTGAATATCCTGTTTTTCCAGTACCATTTATCAAAGAGGTTATCTTTTTTTCTATTAAGATTAAAGAGAATCATAAAAAGAATCTGATTCACAATTGGTAGGAAATTCCAAAGGAGCTGGGCCTAGTAGTGTACATTTCTAATCCCAGCATTTGGGAGGCAGAGGCTTGCAGATCTCTGTCAGTTTGAGTCCAGTCTTATCTACATAGCCAGGGCCAGGGCTATGTAGAGAGACCCTATTTCAAACAAACAAACAAACAAACAAACAAAAAAACAGTGACAACAACAACCCCCCTCGAAAAGAAAAAGAAAAGAAGAAAACTACAAAAGAATCAGTTTAACCAAGAAGTGAAAGACTTTTCAATGAAAATTGTAAGGAAAACCTCACCAAGTGAGTTTGTTCACACAGGGAAAGAATTGATGCTGCTATGTTTATTCTACCCTAGTTATTTATGGATTCAATGCATATTATTATTCAATCCATCAACATATCAATGATATTCTTCATAAAAGTAGTGAAAAATGTCCTGAAATTTCTCTGGAAATACAGAAAACTCCAAATAGACACAGTAGACTTGAACCAAACCAAGCAAAGTACTAAAGAAACAAACAAAACCAAAGCTGGAAGTAATCATATTACCCAACACCGAAATATACTTCAAAGCTGCAAAAACCAAATATCACAGTAGTGGCATAAAAATAGACACATAGGCCAGTTGAACAGAACACAGAGCCTAGAAATAACCTAGTACATTTGTAGCCAAATGATTCTTGACCAAATTCTGAGAGATTGAAATTTGTGGTCTACATTACTAACATGACCTTTTGTAACCTCACATTTAAAACATTTATTTATTTTTGTGTGACAAATGTACACATGTCCGAGACATTCTGGGGCCAGAAGTTGACACGTTCCACCTTCTTTTTTGAGGCCTGGTCTCCTACTGAACATGAGCTTGCTGATTTGGCTAGACTGGCTGTCCAGTTGCCATAGGTATCAGCGTGGCTTTGCTTCACTACATAGGATCATAGGTGTGCACCCCTGCACCTGACTTTGATGTGTTTTCTGGGGATCCAGACTCAGACCCTCATGCTTTTTGAGTCTAAGCACTGTATTTGCTGAGCCATCTCCAGACCTACATGGTGGCTTTTAAACAAGGGAGACATGTGTCTGTATTATATAAACTCACCTAGGATTTGACTATGGATATTTATCTCCAAGTGACTCCTACTTGTGATTTATCAGATGTGAATTCTGTACATAAACAAACTTTCTAAGACAACTGGCTTTCTGCTAAGTTGCGAAGTTATTTCTGACAGGCTTCCACTGTTGCATTTTTGTAGGATCCAATCCCGCTAGGAATCACAACTAGAACCTAGGTAGTCCTGGAGCCTCCTCCTCCACTTCCCTGACTGTTTCTCAGATACCCCACTTACTGAGAATTTCCACAGGCCCCCAATGTCATCACTCCTCTCAAAGCAGGTGGGCTCCAGCCCCTCCTCCAGACAGCTCCTGATGGAGGCCAGGCCACTGACGCCAGCTCCAACGATGGCCACTCTCTTCTTCATGGGTGCCTGTGAACAGGTGCAGAGATCATTTCCAGCAGCATTTCTGAGGCCTTGCTTTGGTGTTTACTTCTGGTTTAATGAAAAATTTTGCCTCAGCGGGCATGAAAATATTTCCTAAGTATTTGAGAACTCCTGTTAGTTATACAAGCATTTCTGATTCTTGGAAAAACAAAGCACCACCATCATCACCACCACCAACAACAAAAACAAAACAAAACAAACAAACAGAAAAAAAAAACAAAGACAACTGGACAAAGTCTTTGGGAACTTTGAGATTTGTGATCTGAATTGCTAACATTACCTTTGGTAACCTCAAATTTAAAAAGTTTATTTATTGACCAGCCTGGTCTACAAGAGCTAGTTCCAGGACAGGCTCCAAAGCCTGCCTTGAAAAACAAAACAAAAAATTATTTATTTTGTGTGTGGGGGGGCATGTCCACACATGTGCACAAGCATGTGAAGGCAAAATGTATTAATCATTTTGTTTCAGTCAGCTCCCCAAATTCAGAGATTCACAACTGAGCTACATAAACACCCATACCACACATTCACAGCCATGTTATAAACACACACAGCTCCACACAAATGTTTATATGTGAATACAGCAAACTAAGATCTGTGCTTAGATGTATGATGGCCTCTCTGTGGGAGAGGGTTGGTTTCATGACCATCTGCATATGCTCAGGTTTTTTCTATAAATGGCCTGGGACTTTGGTCTAACCTATGGAGTCCTCCTGCATCCTTCAATTCATCTCTGGATTACTTGTAATTTATAATATTACCAATTTGTTGGAACTACAGTCTTGACATATCTCTTAAGGAATAATATCAAGAAGGGGGGGGAAGGCCAGCACATATTTAATACAGATGCAACCCTCATAGACCTAACTACATCAATGGTTCATGGGTACTTGAATCTTTATATATGAAACACACATGTACAAACATACACTCACACACATATATACTTTCAATACATGCATGCATACACATATATACATGTGACATACATGTATGCCTATGTCTATTTAACTTGACACAAGACAGGGAACATCTATATGTAAATATGTCAGATAGTCTTTTTCCTTCCTTAACAAAAGTCAAGTCATTGCCTTAAACCAACATCTTCCCATTATTAGCCATTCTCAACTCAATTCTCTGCCAAGAAAATTATGTTTCCTAGTCTTTTCCTATCCTTAGCTTCTACCACTACTTCTCTATTTTTCTTTTTAGGTAAAATTCCATAGCTCTACAAACAAAAAATATTTAGATGGTGAGAGTCATGTTCTAGGATACCCAGGAAAAATGAAAACCAGACAACTTCCTGAATGGCATGCCAAGTTCACTCTAGCCATAGTGAATGCAGACCCACCCAACTCCATTCCCCTACCTGACCCTCCCCCACACTCCCTTTTCATTCACCTATGAGAATCCTCTACCTTTGCAATAGCTTTCTTTCTCTACCTTTTCCTTGTCTTCCTTTCTTCTGTGTGTTTAAGCCCTGAGTCTCCTGTGGAGTCTGAAACAAAAAATGCTGGGCACCTGATGTTAAGGGGGGTGAGGACAGTGTTATTGGACATAGGGAGGAGTTTCTCTTAAAGGGATAATCCTTGATCCTGTAGCAAGTGAGTGAGCACACACACCCCTTCCTGTGATGTGCAGGTCTCCGGGGCCACCTTTCTGGTCACTCAGACCTGCTTTCCTGTTAGCAGAGTTAGCAACCTCCAGTTTCACCTTTAGGTCACTCTGTAAGTAAGGCTTTTCCCTATTAAATACCCTTATATTTCTACCTGACTCCGTATTGGTAATTTCCCACTATATAGGTCCTTTCCTGGGGGTTGGCAGTTTCTCCAAGTCACTATGCTTCTCTATTCCATCTCCTTATATGTAATCCCAAAGTTTACCTAATTTTCCTTATTTGTAGGTCTTTCAATGGTAGCCTTCCAAACTCTACAGAATATTAATCACAATTGAAGATAGACCAGCAGCAAAGATAGCTTTTCCATCATGTGAAAAAAAAAATCCTTGGCTTGCTAGTCACAGATAAAGCAAGTAGGTCAGACCTGGTCATGGGCTTTAGCAAAATCCTATTATTCATGACTCTTGCTGAGGGTGTTGTGTGTCTTCTGTGAGACCTTCCTTGGGAGCTTTAAATTTCAAGCTTGCAACTGTATTTTAAAGGAACTCCACAGGGGAGAGTTTGTGAGTGAATGTGCCTCTTGCCATTGCAATTTACTCTCCTAATGGACCTCTGGCGGGATGAGTTATCCAGCGCACTCCATCTGCTCAGAGGGCAAGAGGCTTCCAGGGAGGCAGAGACCTGACGGGAGACTGTACCCATTCTTCAAGACCATTGCTGAGCTGTCATCTCCACCTGTCAACATCTCTGCCTACTTGCAGACATAGGTCTCAGCGTCTGAAATTGCCTGCCACTCAGTCAAAGTGCAATAGAGACAGATGGTCAGAGCCATGGGAGAGTGTTCTCCATAAGGAGCCAAGAAGTCAACAGAGTCAAGCTCAACTCTTCAGATAGTAGTGAAGAAAAAGCTAGCACTTAAAGTCATTTATGAAACTTTGTTAGGTACCTAACTTCAACTGGAGCCTTTTTAAAAAGTAATTTTACAAGCTTTGTTTTCTAGCAGTCTAATGCATACATCTTTAATTGTCTTTTTTATTCAGATATTTGTATTCCTGCAAAATTGAGACGAAGTTTGTTGATTATGTGTTTTCCAAAAGAGCCATCCAGTGTGAGGATGGTCACAAAATGCTTCATAATCTAGAATAGGAGGAAAGAACTGTACTTCAAACAGTGAACTTGTACAATGACTGGCATGGGTAGAAAAACAGACAGGCAGTGTTGGGTCATGTTCAAAAAGTAGCTGGATGCAGAATAATGGCCATTTGTTAACATCCTTATTTTAAAAGAAAACAATGCTTCCAAAAGGAAATGAACTGGGTAGGGATACACACGTATTATTTCAGTTGAATTGGATTGTCAGAATGTATTTAAATTACTTGTCTGAATTGCACAATGCACTGTGCTTGTGACTTTGACATGCTAGTTCTGTCACATCATTCTGCTTGTTTCTCCTACCAAGTGCTGCCAAGTGCTGTGCTGTACAGATGATGGTGACACGGGCTCTTTCTCTAAGACAAATTGGCTTATGTTCATACAACAGCATGTGAAGCTAACGCTCTAAAGGGAATGCAGCAAGGGCTTGTCTCTTGGATTCTTCTGAAAATCATGAGAGCTACTGACACTAGGGCCCACACTATTGGACTAGAAACATGGTCTAGTCGCCCTTGTTGATAGGGAAAGATGGTCCTATCTCCGGTCCTGTCAATCTCTCTATACCTCCTAAGAGAGAAGTACAGACTCATTTTTCTTCAAACTTTATGAGATATAACAAGTTAGAGTTGCACATTTTTAAAATGTATTGGTACATGCACACATGCAAGCATGTGTGTGTGTGCATGCACATGTGTGTGTGTGCATGCACATGTGTGCGTGTGCGTGTGCGTGTGCGTGTGCGTGTGCGTGTGTGTGTGTGTGTGTGTGTGTGTGTGCGCGCGCGCGCGCACGCATGCACATCTGCGTCTGTGTATATGTGTGTGTATAAAGGGGACAACCTTGGATGTCATCCTCAGTAACATTATCTATCTCTTTTTAAGAAAAGGTCTCTCAGTGGCTTGGAGCTCACTGAATAGACTACACTCTGGTCAGTGAGCCTCAAACACCTTCCTGTCTCCATTTCCCACAAGTTATCACCATGCCTCGATTGTTTTTTACACAGGTTCTAAGGATTCAATTCAGGTTCTCTTGCTTTCAAAGGAAGCGTTTTACCAATGAGCTGTCTCCCAAGCTGTGTTCTTGTGTTTTAAATTTTATACTAGAAATAGAAGACAACGGCTCACTGTTCCTTTATTACAGTGCCCTGTTTTCCTTCTTATTCATAATTACCATTGAGTTTTATAATTCCATATTGTTCCTGAGCTTTTTATTCCAACTGCAAAGGTCTCACTGCCTTTTTGAAGATAAGATAGGCCTAGTAATAAACTCTCTCAGGTTATGTTGGTTTTGAAAGTATCTTTACCTCTTGTTTATTTCTTTTGGGCAGTTGTGATACTTGTAGTGTTTTTCTTTCTGGCAGTTTTTCTTCTTTAAGAACTTTGAGAAACATCACCCTCCACTCTCTGCTGATAAATCTGCTGAAATCCTTATGGCAGCTTCATTGCATGCAACGAGTTGCTTTTATGTTGATGATTTTGAAGCACATGTCTGTCTTTGACAAATGCTTATTTGTGGAGAAATGAATAAATTATTTAATCCTATGAGGGATAGTCCGTGGGTACTAAAAAGCTATAATGCAGGTATTACAACTCTAATAGATGGCTTAGAGAAATCTTCTATAACATGGAAAACAGACACAATGTGTGAAAGTGGCTATTACATTTTAATTAGAAAAATGAACAATTATTTAAAGATTCTTTTAAATATGTATGCAAGCACATATAGGCCCTCTTATACAACTTAAAATAAACTTCTATTAAGGAGAAAAATATGTATGCATGTATGCACTAAGTTATTAATATGCTTTACCCTGTTGACCAGGGGATCCATATGTGAATGGATGAAAGAGCCAAGAAGAAACAACAGTCAAGTAAACAACAGAGTATAAAACATGAACAAAATATTCTTACTGGAAAAAATAAAGCAAAATGTTCTAGAACTTAGAAGATAAGAATCTGCATTTCATTCTAGAGTGAACAAGCCAGTGCAAATTTGAAGAAGTATCTCAGAAAAGGTTTGTTTGGCTGTGATTCACTGTGAGTTTTGATCGTGGACTGCACTGTTGAGCAATACTGAGTTGAGAGATGAATCCAACCACAAGGCCCATGGGCTTCCTTCACTGGCTGTCCTTTGACAAGGGATAATGCTACTTGTCCTCACACTGCACATGTTACTCCATGAGCAAAAACCGTAAGGGAACCTGCAACTC